GGTGGTGGGGTCGGATTGCAGATGGCGGAAGTGTCGGAGGATGATGCGTTGGATCCGGAGGTTGGTGGGGTGGTATGTGAGGACGAGGGGGATTCTTTTTTCGTTCTTATTGCGTGGACGGGGTGTGAGGAATGAGTTGCGGGAGATGTGGGAGACACGGTTGAGGGCGTTCTCGACCACTGAGGGGGGGAAGTTACAGTCCTTGAAAAACGAGGACAACTGAGATGTACGGGAGTGGAATGCCTCATCCTGGGAGCAGATGCGGCGGAGGCGAAGGAATTGGGAATGGGGATAGCATTTTTGCAGGAAGGTGGGTGGGAGGAGGAGTATTCTATGTAGCTGTGGGAGTCGGTGGGCTTGAAATGAATATCGGTTTCTAGGTGGTTGCCAGCCCCCTTGACCTGTCCGTCCTCCCTGGACTGACCTATCCCCTCCCTAATTCCCCACCTACACTCACCTTTACTGGCCCCATCCCCGCCTCTTCGACCTGTTTGTTTCCTCTCCACCTATCCTCTCCTCTATCCATCTTCTATCCGCCTCCCACTCTCTCCCTATTTATTTCAGAACCCCCTTCCCCTCCCCCTTTTCTGATGAAGGGTCTAGGCCTGAAACGTCAGCCTCTCTGCTCCTATGATGCTGCTTGGCCTGCTGTGTTCATTCAGCCCTGCACCTTGTTGTCTCGGATTCTCCAGCATCTGCAGTTCCTACTATCTCTTGAGCATCTAGTTTGCATTTTATAGCACGGAGTCAATTGCTGCTAGTAACTCAGATTTTCTGGCTTTAGGGAATGTATGTAATCTGTTCTTTGCCTCAATGATAGAGTACTTTGAAGAAACAAGGTGCTCCAAACTGACAAAAACAAAAAGTTGCCACAACTGATCTATGGCAGTTGAATTTTATTTCCTGTGTGTTGATCATTAAGATAACCTGACACTAGGCTTCCAAGTGAAGCAGCAATTTACCTTCACTTCACTCAACCTAGTCTACTGTATTTGCTACTCATGTGGTTTTCTGTAACTTGGGGAGATGAAATATTGACCAGACAACTGCTTTTTGGAACAGAGATAGTAGGAACTGCAGCAGCTGGAGAATCTGAGATAACAAGGTGTAGAGCTGGATGAACACAGCAGGCCAAGCAGCATCAGAGGAGCAGGAAGGCTGATGTTTCGGGCCTAGACCCTTCTTTGGAACACCTACGTTCTGTCCACAAAAATTACCTGGAGTTTCCAGTTGCCTGCCATTTCAATACACCATCATGTTCCGTAGCCAACATTTCTGTCTCGGGCCTACTGCAGTGCTCCAGCAAAGTTCAGTGCAAACTGGAAGAATAGCGTCTCACTTTCCGCTTGGGGTCCCTGCAGCCTTCAGGACTCAATGCCCTTAGAACATGAACACCTTCCTCCATGTCCTTTACCCACCCCCATACCCCAGGTCATGTCATGACCCAGCTGCTTTCAGCACAACCAACCATTTTCACCTACTTAAGATCCCCATTATCCACTTTTCTCCTTCTCTGTCATACCATTATCCATCCCTTTGTCTGCCTAGCTGTTGTACTCTCTCTGAGCTCCATCTCCAACTATTAGTTCAGTCTTACCCCCTCCCCAACCACATCTTCCGCATATACATCAACTTTTCTTAATTACTATCAATTCTGAAGAAGGGTCACTGGACTAGAAACATTAACTTTGCTCTTTTTTCCACAGATGCTACCAGGCAAGAGTTTCTTCAACAATTTCTGTTTCTGTTTCAGATCTCTAGCATTCGCAGTTCCTTGTTTTATTATTAAAGTGGACAACTTAAATGATAGGCAATGGATTTCTTTCTGGTAAAAGGGAAAGGATTGCAGGGTATGTTGCAAAGATGAATAAACGATGATGACAGTGATCAAAAAAGTAATGGGTTAGTTGAGTCTAAAACATTTTTCTGTTTCTACATTCTAAAGATTCTTATTTCTTAAGCCTTTGTTGTTGTTATTCACCAAGAACTTGCAGGTGTAAACCAGATGGCACTTGTGCAACCCTGTGGTGCTTTACTGCAGAGTCCACCAACATTAGTATGTAGCTCAAAATCTCTCACAGCAGTCTGCAGAATTGAGCTCTTCATATCCTATACCACTTTCTGTTTGAGAATCAATCCCTAGATAATCTTCTCTATGGTACTTAGAAAGGTATTAAAAGTGAAAAGCTGTTTGCAGCAGGTGACATTTTTACGGCTCTGTAATTTGTGGCTTTGTCTGGATCCCCTTTTTTTAGCATCACAAAACCTAGATGTGTTTGCTTCCATTATCAACAGAACAATTTACTTGGCATCCTGCGGAAAGCCACATCAAGAGAATAGTTG